GATAGCGTTGACGATTTCTGGCTCTCATATCAGTGTTGGAAAGTGCTTGGTGACATATTCACTGATATTTGATCATGTCAGATCGTCGGGCCACCCGCGTTAAAACGATTTTGAAACACTGAAACGACGAAGTAATGAGATCTTTACAGCACTGTTCGGTCAGCATGACTAGTTCGAGCCGAGACAACTGGTTGCAACATATTGACCGCTTACATTGCGGCGCTAACGAGTTACAAAGGATTGCCGACAGAAGTTCAGAGCCAATTTTGGCACGGAGAGTCAATCATTCCAAAAGCAGCGCAGACCAGCCATACATGTTAGGTCAGATACCAATCCAACCGTGAGTTTCACGATGCATTTCTCAATTCTCATTCCCTGACAGCTTCCGACAGGCGCAAGGGCGCACACAAGGGGGGGGGGGGCACACGGGCCCGTGCCCCCCCCCATTCGAGTTGGGGGGCCCAGCTCGAAGGAAGAGGGGCCCATTTGAGGCGGCCGAAGGCCGCCTCAAATGGGCCTCTAACTAATCCTTAGACCACCGAAGACCGTGTACAAAGGGCCCTCAAATGGCCTTAAAGGGCCCTCAGATAGTCTCAAAAGGCCCTCAGATGGCCTCGAAGGGCCCTCAGATTACCTCAAAGGGCCCTCAGTTAGCGTCATAGGGCCCTCATCTGGTGTCAAAGGGCCCTTAGATGGTGTCAAAGGGCCCTCAGATAGCCTCGAAGGGCCCCAGATGGCCTTAAGGGGCCCTCAGATGACTTCAAAGGGCTCTCAGATGACCTTAAAGGGCCCTTAGATGGCCTCAAAGGGCCCTCAGCTAACGTTAAACGCCAGATGGTGCCAGATGGCCCTCAGCTGGCGCCAAATGGCCATCAGAAGGCCTCAAACGGTCCTCAGCTGGAGTCCAGCGGTCCTCAGTTGGCGTCAAGCGGCCCTCAAAAAGCCTCAAGGGGCCCTCAGAAGGCCTTAAAGAGCATCAAAGGGTCTTGAGCTAGCGTCAGAGGGCCCCCAGCTGATGTCAGAGGGCCCTGAGCTAGCGTCAAACTTAAAGGGCCCTTAGCTGGTGTCAGAGGGCCCCAGTTGGTGTCAGGTGGTCATCCATTGGCGTCTAATGGCCATCAGAAGGCCCAAAAACGGTCCTCAGCTGGCGTCCAACGGTCCTCAGCTGACGTCAAGAGTCCCTCAAAAGGCCTCAAAGAACCCTCGACTGCTCAAAGGGCCCTTAGAAGGCCTCAATGGGAACTCAAGAGACGTTAAACGGCCCTCAAAAGGCTTGAAAGGGCCCTCTGCTGATGGCAAAGGGCTCGCACCTGAGTCAATAAGAGCCTTGTCAAAAAACGGACCTGAGAAACCTTGCCGCCCCTGGTTATCTGCGGGACTCCTACAGTTACCTGAGTGGCCCCCGTTTACTGAGGGGCCCTGGTTATTGATGGGGTCCCTGGTTACTTGAGGCCATCTGAGGGCCCTTTAAGGCCATTTGAGAGCCCTTTGAGGTCATCTGAGGGCCCCTTAAGGCCTGGTTACCAGAGGGGCCCATGGTCACCTGGTGGCCCCTGATCAATTGAAACCCCTGGTCATCTGAAACGCCCCTGATTACCTAAAGGATCCCTGATCACTTGGATTCAGTGACATAGCAAGGGAGCGAGGGGGTACGTGCCCGTTCTCGGGTTTAGGGTTTCTTCGAAACCGAGGGGCCCTGCGGCGCCAGTTGGCAGCAGAGGGTTCGCGCTGGCCGCACTTCAACTCGGAAGGACACCACAGGCTTGTGGGGGCACGTTATTGGCTCCTATGTAGCCACAATTATCTTCATAAAGGCCCAATGCCGGTTTCTGAGAGACCTCGCCGGCCGCTCAGGGCCCTAGTAACGGCCAACGAGGGATTGGCTGCTATGGCTCCACATCCGTCTGTGATAGACACACGGCCCACACCAGTGTTTCTAAAGGCACCCACAACGGCAACTGCGAGGCCCCTCACGCCACCTCCAAGGGACCCCCCACCAACGCATCTTAAGGGCCTACATCGGCGGCTCTGAGAGTCCCCACACCGGCGCCTCTGAGGGCCACGTACCAGTGACTCTGAGGGCCTCTTACTAGCCTCTGAGTGTCCTTGCCAGCCTATGAAGGGCCACTTTCCACTTGCAGGCCATTTTGCAGGGCCACACACATGCCAATGATGGCCCCACCAGTGTCTCTAAGCCCTAAGACCCCGCAACGGCGCCTGTGAGGACCAAACACCAGCGCATCTGACGGCCTTTCACTGGCATCTCTGAGCGCGCCACACACCGGTGACTCTGAGGAGCTCGCTCGCTTCGCTCGCTCGTAAAATACCATGTACATTAGGCATTAGTGTACATTAGGCACACTCCTCGGGCATAAATGATACTTTTACTTGCCAATTTTCCACATTTTCTCATGCAAAGACCGTTTTAAAGAAACCCGTCTGCCACTGAGACTGGACCCACCGTGCCTCCCTCCTCCCATCGAAAGGTCCTGGATACATCCTTGCCTGAGCTGACCCCCGGGTGACTCGCGGGCCCGGGGTCAGGTGACCAGCAGGTGACCCCCTCTTGGGCGAAATTCTGGGTACGTGTCCGACATGCATCGTACATAGTCCTGTTGATTTGATTCATCGGTTAAACATTAAATATAAGTTATAAGCTGGATCTCTAGTCTGTGATCCCGCATCGTATCAGATACCTGATGACATTCCATGTCGATGTGCCTAAAAAAATATGCGAATATACGTGAAAAAGGAGTGTTGCTACCGCTCCTACACATCCGGGCCAAACAGTGACCGGTCCGCCTGCTTCCAGCCACCCGGGGCCGGTCGGCCGGCCGGCAGTTATAGTCGCTGCCCGGGGCTGATTTCTGAGGGTCTTGCAACAATGTTTATTAATGAAATGTTTTACTTTACGTAATAAATTAGATGATTAGGTATACCTATGTACCGGCTCTCAGTCGCAGTTGAGAAAAAAAAACATGCTAGCGTAAAAATATAAATGTTTTGAAAATTAAGCTGGTTCCGAAATAATTGTTTTACCATGCATTGACAAAAGCTCGAGCCTCAAACCAACCGAAACATAACCCCATGGGCCGTATTTTTTTTTGGGGGGGGGAGGGCCCTTCGGCATGGGGGGCCCAGTTCGAAGGTCGTGCCCCCCCCCATTCAAAAATCCTGTGTGCGCGCCTGGACAGGCGCCCATCCTTTCTCGATCCCGAAACAAATGACCCAGTCACGCACGTGGCATGGATCGACAAAAACAAAACCTTCCCGATGAAAAACACAGCGCAAGACCATTTATACAGAGCGCCACAGGCTCAGAGCTGAACACCCGGTCGAGAGAGGCAGTCACGTTGAGCTAAATCGGTCACTGTTCTCTTCGCAGCCTGAGGCTGTTTTTGGTGTGGATTGTTTTCGTTCCACTCCAGCGGGCAAACGGTCGCTGCCGCCGCTGCCATTTGCTTGGCTCTGTCACCATCTGTTGCCTTGGGGAAGACCGGAAGGCGCAGACGATCACCATGAAGCAGCAGCAGAGAGTGGGATCTGTTGTGATAAGGAGTCCCGGGATGAGAACCTCTCTGGGTGAAGTCGTCGGGCGCTCGTACGAGAACTGAGAACGCTGCGAGTCTCGGCCGGGCCAGATAAATGTAGAAGACGACATGTGTCTGGGGGAGGGAGAGGAATGTGCGTGCCGCCGTGAGCCCGCTGCCAGAAGGGGAGGTACCGGTGCGGCGACGACTGATGTCTAGCTGCGCCGTGGCACCGGGCCGTGACAACAGAACGACGCTCGTGCGCAGTTCGCAGAAATGACGCGACGGACTTGGCTGGCGTTCAAAGGAGCGCGTGAGGCCGGGGCTAACATTAATTAAGAGATGCTCGCAGAACTATTGCCAGAGTCTCAGACGGGCGCGGAACATGACAGAAAGAGGTTAAGGAGACAGAAGATGGTGTTTGCAAAGAAACATTTATGTCGTCACCCCATAAGTAAGAGGGGCGTTAGTGTCTGGCGAGAAAATTAATGGCGAAACTAGAGCTTCATGTTTCGTAGCAAACATGTCAGGTAACGCTAGCCAATATTTGAGGTTGAAGAAGTCACCTGCACTTATTTCTAGAGATATAAGCAAATAGAGATGTCAATCGGATACCAACTTTTGGTAAACCGATACCAAACCGATACCAGCTCGCTATTTGGTATTGCAATCCTAATGTGTTTGGTATTTTGTTGGTATCATGAACCCTCGCTAATGTTTAAAAGGCTAAGAAATCGGTAAAAGGTTGGTATTTTCCTCATGTTCCCAAGTTGGTTTGGTTTCGGTATTTCTCCACGGTTTTTGGTTGGTATTTGGTTTGGTATCGGTATTCCGATTTTCCGTAATTGACATCACTATAAGCAAACATAAGGTGTCAATGAAAAGGCATTGACAAATTTATTTAACTGCAAAATAAGCCAAAATACAGCTGAATGCCAGAAACTGGCATTTTCATTTGGGAGCCTTCAATAATTCTCAGCCAACTTGGCGTACCTCAATCGAGCCAAGACCTTGCGACTTTTTCATGCACAGCACACCGCCCGGGTCGCTGACCTCGTACGCACACCGGCTGTCAAAACTGACCAGTCACTTGGTAAATGGAGGGGGGGGGGGAGCAGTGGACGGTGTGTGACCTCTCCCTCCCCCCCCCCCCAGCTGACACAAGAGCCGGCAGCTTTGGTGTCGATGACGTAAGCGGTACCAGACGGCGCCGGCCGCTGTGTTCTCCAATACAGGGTTTAGACTTTAGATGGGGTCAGGTGGGGTCAGGTGGTGTCAGCGAGGGTCCCGGGCCCGCCGGGGGTTAGGTCGGCTTACGCAGAGTTCAATGAGGGGGATAGGAGTTATGCAAGGAAGATTGATTGGGTTATGAAAATATTAGGTTTGAAAGATTATGTATTTAACGGGAGCCTTCAATCCGACAGAAAAACATCATTTTATTCTGATCGACAAGCCTTACATATATATATATTTTTTTTTTTGCTCACTTGATGGCTTGCCTAGCTGAGTCAATTCAGCAAACGCATGCCAAATTTACATCGGGATAATAGTTAGCAATGCAAGTTCCATTATCTACCTACATATATAGTCTGGATTAACGACCTTATTTCGCAAGAACCGAGTTGCAATGTTATACTTCATAAATGCTTTGAGTATTGTGTAACGCTTCCTCTTATCCTTCCCTTTCCAAAATCAATAAGCTTACGCAGGTTTTGCAAGAGCTCTGTTCTCGCCTCTTGCACCATGGAGTAATAAATGAAACCGTTGCCCGCAATCCAATTACTGATCACTGTCAAACTACTCGGATCACTGCTGGAGAGATTGACCAATAAACAATCAGGTATTGTTGAGAGCAGGCGCCGGTTAGTGTTTACAGTGGACATACCAGGCTACTTAGCCTTACAACTTTGCCGAGCTGCATACATATACACCGTCGTATACACTATACACAGACTGAGAGGGACATCGGCTGGAGACTGGAGAGACACTGCAGGCGCCGGGATCATGGGGCAGTCCTCAAACCAGACGTACTCAACTGGGACCAGACTTCTCAAACCAGACGTTCTCAAATGAGAGCAGACGTCTTCAATTGGGATCAGACTTTGAAGTGAGATCAATGTATTATAAACTGAAACCAAATGTCCCTGGGTGAGACCAGGGTATTATCAACTAAGATTGTGATCTCAGTTCAGTTGAAGGCTATTCTTAAGTGAATAAAGTATGTCCTCGAACGAGGGAAAACTTTTAAGTTGAGCGATGAGGGTCTCTGAAAAAAATTCTTAGGTTGCCATCAGATAAGGAAATATCCCAATACGAACAAATGCACTAAACTCAACAGAGGACGTTCTCATGAACAGGAAATGATTCATGCTCCAAACAGAAGCAATTCGCTCCTCTTGTCCCCCGCCATGGAGAGATAATGGTTTTAGTCACCAATTGACGAGGATCAAAAGAATGAACATAAATTGTTTCTCTTGCTTGAAAAGACGTCGTAAACCAGCTGGCTGGCGACAAAAAAGAGCTAAATCAATTTCTCTTAACGACGCTAGCGACTAAATTTGAACTTTGTCAGGAATGTATGACTCTTGATACGGAAATGTTAATTCTATCTCAAGCTACGTTGCTAATTTAAACCTATAACGCAGGCCAAAGGTTCACATTCACAAAGCACATTTACAGCGCTCAGCCCATGGAGCTGATTCACTCCTAATTCAAATTCATTCAAATTGGCAGAATCAAATTGGCTACCCAGGATGCCTAAGGGGTGTGTCACCACGGTTCTTCAAACAAGAGCAAAGCGGACCTTACACGTCACATGTCACTCGGCGTCACCCCGCTCACGGCGAGTGCACGTGACCGGGTCATGCGACGTGCCAGTCAGCTGTGCACTGTGCAGTCCGTGCACAGTGCACAGCAGGCGTGCACCGTGCACACTGAACCGCCAGTGGCTCGCCCTGGAGGCGCTCGAAGGCTGCCAGACGCCGCGAGTGAACTTTACACGGATCGCCTGACAGCCGATTTGTGAGCGAAATTCCGACGAGAGAGCACGAGATCACACCAAGCGTTCACACGATGTGAACTGATCACCGATCAGTGATCTGAGAAGTAGACGTTATTCATTCCGTCACTGAGAGCCGTAGCCTCGAAATACGCCGCTGTATATGTAAATGCATCGACCTCCGAATGTCAAACACATGCGATAATTCATGAAATTCCGATGAGATCAGCTCAATCTCTATGCGTCACCATTTATTTCAAGCGTACTCTCACACACATCTGCCCTGACGTCTGTCGAGTTTCAAGAAATGCTGCCTTCTCCGCCATCCAGTGTGTGCCGTGAGGGATAGAGGATTTATTACGCCAACGCCGCGCGAGGTGTAATTTTATTGCATGCATTACCTCCGCAACATCCGGTCGCACAGGAAGACGCTCACAACCGGCCCACGACTCCCCAAGTGAGCTCACTCGCGAGTTGAGTGTTGTCGGCCGGCGGCGGCGCCGGCGCACGCATCCGCCGCGTCGGACCGACCCTGGGCTGGCGGCCCGGCCCGCCTTCGCCGGCCCGCCGTCACGTGGCCCGGGACGGCAGCGGTGTTATGTGCAGCTAGTGGGCCGCCACCCGAAAACCGGCATTTTGCCGAAAAACGGAGGTTCCGTTCGGTATTTCCGCCACCGCGATTCAACAACGGGCGGCGGGCGGGCGGCACAGCTCTCACAACGGAGGCGACCGACCATAAAGGAACGGCGCCCGCCCGGTTCGCTAGCCTCGCTCACTCGCCCAGAAGCCGCGCTAAGATAACACTTGACAAGGCTATACCTGCCTGCCTTTGGTACTCACCGGTTGAGGGTGATAGCGACCATGTTGAAGAGCGACGCCGCAACATTTCCGTAGAAGAAGAAAGGGAAGATACGACATGCCGTCTCCCCCAGCATCCAGCTCTCTGTTATGTACCTGCGGGGAGGGGGAGGGGAGGACATCTTAATCTCGTGAAGATTTACCTCATGTACGTACAGTTAATATATCTTGTTGTTGTGGCAGCTATGGAGGTTTACGTCACGTAACCTGACTCGCTCACATGCCACGAGGTATTAGGGCAATTTATGCATGCCGTAGCAAGGCAATCTTGTGGCGTCTTTCTAATTTTATTGTTTAACGCCATCACGCTAGAATGAATAAAGTGGCGGTCGCTGGAGGTCGCGGCGATGTGGGGTTGGCGGACGCTTGTTTGGGACCAGCGGCGTATTTAGAAAATCGCGAAGGGGGGGGCAAGGGTTTGGAGGGCGCCACCTCACCCAAGGAGGGCGCCATACGTTCGCGAGATAAAAATCCTTAACGATCGCTCAGCGGAGGGGGGTGGGGGGTGGGAGGCCTTTTTTTACTGCGCCACCAGTTTTTTTGCGTACCTTGGTATAGGTTCTGCTGCATTGATTTTCCATCGTGTGTATTTTGTTTTTACTCCAGGTCACAAAAGGTCAAGTCACCCGCTCAGCTTAAGTGATTATGCTTAAAACTTTTTTTTTAAGTTAGGTCACTCGACATGGCCTGATGACCTTTCTTTTAGCGACTATGGTTTACATTTTATAAAGCACGTGTAAGAGTAATGTACCAAAAGGTGTGCCCCTCCCGCTCACCCAGTTCCCTCCCCCAACAGGAAAAAACGGAAGCTCGTAGCGTAGTGGTATATGGGATTTTTCTACCGCATGTCTGAAGAAATGTCCTGGAGCGGGTTATTCTGACACGTGACGAAAAGATTGGAAGTGATTGGCTATAAGTTCCTACTAAAGAAGTGTTGTGCGCGCCGAAGGCGCGCGAAATTTTTGAAAACAACCTTTTCCTCCGCCTTTTAGGCACATATTTTACGTGCTCACTGTTCAAAGCTCTTCTCGCTCTTTTACCAAATTTGAAGGTGTAAAAATACCTAAGGTTTGGTGGGGCCGGTGCCACACAAACGGTCCGCATCGTCTGCGCGGCAGACGCGCCTGCCCAGTTTGGACCCAGCGGGGGCCTGGCTCGCTATCGTCGTGGCGGAGTGGTTGACGGGGCTGCCCAGTCGGTAACCGGTCCAAGCCCAGTCGTTTGCCCAGTCGGGCCCCTGTCGAGGCCCGGCGTTTCCTTGGTGCAGACGCCACCTTGGGCCCAGTCGGGATGCCCAGTCGCCGCCCGGCGTATGCCCGACTGGGGCCCAGTCGGTGCCCAGCATAAATGCTGGCTGGGGTATAGGAAGCTTCGCCCATGGGTGACGATGTAGAAAAGTTTATTGGCGGTGGCATACACACCAGACCACCATATCGGATTGATACCGGAGCGCGAGGTGCGTAAACACAAGCGCACAACGAGAACGCGGCAGAAACAGAAAGATAGGTGAACCATAACAGGACTGTTCCTCATGAGATTGATTAGCCTCCTCGGGCTTCTCATCCAAATTACCTCGACCAGCCCTCATGGCCTTCTCACAGATGCATATTACAGTGTTGAATACCTAAATAACCAGCTTCAATCACCGAAACTGATGCCTGCTGTTGCAGCCGAACCTGTTGACAATACTTAATCGTGATCCATATAAAATAGATGTCATAATGCATGTAAAGTAAGATCAATCCGTTAAGACCAAAGACGTGTTTTATGCATGGTAGAGCGTAGACAGTTTTGGTATGCTTCATTCATTATGCTGAATGCACGTTCATTTGTGGCAGTTTTCACAGGCCACAAATCAACAAAGTAGATAAATCAGGAAAGACATCAATGTGTGCAAGAGAACTGCTAAGTTGGGAAACATGCCAAAGGAGTAGATAAATTATAGGAGGGCAGCGATCAACGGAGGTCGCCAATAGGTAGAAGGGCTGCCTGCGATCGACAGGAGGTCGCTAATAGGTAGGAGAGCCCCGATCAACATCCCGAGTTTCGACAGGAGGGCACCGATAGGTAGGAGGGTGGCAAGCAGCAGGAGGGCGCCAATGGGTAGAAGAGCGGCGATCAACAGGAGGGCGCCAATAGGTAGGAGGGCCCCGATCAACAATCAACAGGAGGGTGCCACCAGGTGAGAGGGCGGCAAGGAACAGGAGAGCACCAATAGATAGGAAGGTGGCGATCAACAAGAGGTCGCCAATGAGTGGAAGGGTGACGATCAAGTTCAACAGGAGGGTGGCAATGGTGAGGAGGGTGCCTTTGCCCAAGAGGATGACATTAAACAGGAGGGGACCTGTGGGGAGGGCGCCAATTTAGCAGAAAAGTGCCAGTGGGTAGGAGGGTGGCGATCAACAGGAGGGCGTCAGTGGTTAGGAGGGCGGCGATCAACACGAGGGCGCCAATAGGTAGAAGGGCCCCGATTAACATTCAACAGGAGGGACTAGGGAACCAATAGGTAAGAGGGCGCCATGCAATGGCTAGAAGGGTGGCACTCAACAAGAGGGTGCCAAAAGGGAGGAGGGCGGCCATCAAAATTTCACGAGGGCACAATTGGTGGGAGAGCGCCAATAATTATGAGGGTGCCGACCAGCAGAAGGGCACCATTGTGTAGGGCAAGGTGGCGACCTACAGGAGGGCGCCTTCGGGTGAGAGGGCGCCTGTTTACCAGAGAGCGCCAATAGGTAGGAGTACAACGATCAAATGAGGGCGCCAGTGGGTAGGAGGGCAGCGATCAACAGGCTTACATAGGCGACTACCGCTACGCTTAGAAAGCTTTAGCCTACAAATGCGGTTGGAGGGCGCCCAAGGGAGCCCTCCAATCGTATTTGGAGTGCGTATTTGGAATGGCGCCCTCCGAGGGCGCCCTCCAACCGTATTTTCCCTGCAAACACATTCGCGATTGGGCGCCCTCCAGTCGCGATTGTTTTTCGATTCGATTCTATTACAATTGCATTTGCGGTTGGAGGGCGCCTTCGGCGCCCTCCAACACTGTAAACCAAATTAACAAGTCTTGTGTAATATAACCAATCATCTCTTGGTATGTTTACCAACTGGTACTTTTTAAACAAGCCGTTGTCTGGTGCATTGCTTGTCAGGTGACAATAACGAGTCAATAGTTACTATGCACACCAACTTCTCAGTATCCAGACCAACTCTACATTTGTTTCAACGTTTGTTTCTTAACCAGTTTTGGAAACTTGTTGCCGCATGGTTATTTAACCGGCGCCTAACTTGTACTGGTCAGCTGGTCAGCATACACATGGTCAGCTGCGCCCATGACGTCAGACTTGGCGGACCAATCAGCGGTCGCCGCCAGCCGTTAGCGGGCCCCGGCGCGGCGGTTTCGAACCAGCAGTTGTCGCGCGGCCGCCGTGCAGCCTGGAGCAGCGACGAGGGCTGTTCCAGCATTTGTGCAGTAAAAAGTGAAATCTGTGAACTGTGGTGTTCGTGCTGTGAGTGAGGCCCCCTCTGGCCTGCGGGACGCACTAATCGTGCCTATACCCGCGGTCGAGACGCCTCCCTTCCCCTGCGCGCGCAATGTAAGTGGACCAGACCTGTGCATGCACATGTGAGCAGATGTTTTGCGGTCGGTGTTGTTTATATATAAATACATTTATTTGCCTTTAATTCAACTCTTTGTATTTTTAACTTAACTGATGGACACATATGGGCTGTAAAAGCTAATCTGGTTGGCGATCATGATTTATTCGAATTATCTGCGTGATCGTGCAACTGCCATGATTGTTATGTTTAATGTTAAGGAAATATTCGTCATACGGGCATGTTATACTTCTGGCTTGATGCGGTGCACAAAACCATGTTCTTCCACATACGCAGCAGCTCTTGCTTCAGACTTATATGCTGACGGTGCACGATAGGTATACCTACTGGGAATACCTACCTCATGCATTTACCACATCCATTCGGAAATATGCACTCGGTCAGTAGTATTATTGTCTCCAGTCAATAGTATTAATTACGTGACCGTAATAAACACTAATGATTCCAGAAACTTCCGAATGGATGTGGTGTATGCATTCATTGATTATATAACCCATCAGTATTTCGTTTCTTGTCAGCGCAAGCCTTTGAGCATGAGCAATAACTGATGCCAGTCATGGTTTTGTGCACCACTTCCAGCCAAAAAATAACCTGTCCGTATAGAAAATATTTCCTGAATCAGTATCGTGGCAATTGAAAACGAACGCGAATCGTAAGTTCTTAAGGTTATCAAGTATCAATGCAAACAAAGCGATTGTGAGGAAGAGCAAGTTCGAACAGAGCGTTAGTACACTTACTTGTTGACAATTTGTAAGCTAGCAATGCCCAGTCAAAGGCTAGGCTAGTTCATCAACAAACCAGGGATTGGTGAACCGACAAGGAAACGACTATGCCTATCCAGAAGTTGGTAGGTCCACAAGGCCCAGACTAGTACTCAACAAGGTGACGCCTATGCGAATTGGAACCAAACTTGTAGACAAACTGTTAGTTTGTTGGCCAACAAGCCTGGGGTTGGTGAATCGACAAGGTATCGACAAGGTGACGCCTATGCGAATTGGAACCAAACTTGTAGACAAACTGTTAGTTTGGTGGCCAACAAGCCTGGGGTTGGTGAATCGACAAGGTATCGACAAGGTGACGCCTATGCGAATTGGAACCAAACTTGTAACAAGGAGCCAACTTGTAGATTTGGTTTACAGTGAATCGCAAAGGGCGCCTTCGGCGCCCAAGGGGGGGGGGAGGCCATGGCCCAGTGGCCCCCCCTGCCTACGCCCCTGTTTGGGACCCTCCCTTCGGAATACCTCCCTACATCCGGTACGCCGCTGCCGGCGGTATCTGGCGTGCGATCCGCGCAGGGAGGACTGAAGAAGCAAGTTGATGTTCTGTGTCCTGAAACTCCCTAAACAATACCTCTTCAGTTTTGGGCTCCGAGTGCAAGTGAGCGCGCAATAAATCGGGAGACTGAACAAAACATCGTTACAAAGCCACAAACAAGTTTTTAGCACCACCTCTATATCTAGTGCTGTGAGTCAAGCAGACAGGTAAACATCGTACAAGCAAACCGGCTGTGGTGTCAACATACTTCACCCTGCATGTATACTTAGGGCAGAAAACCAAAACGTGGTCGCAAAAACTTTGACAAATGTCGCACAACGTACCTGGAAATGGAAACATTTTCGCCCCATTCGGGTTATGTATGGTTACCGCGGCTATCCAGAGTTTGCTAGTGAATATGCAAAAACTACATATGTAATTTATAGCTGCATATCACGATATAAGCATTTCGCGAGACTGTGATACAATCTGGGTCTGACACCGCCCCCTTTTCGACATCCCCCCTCTCCCCGGTGACGTGACGCACGTCGTGACACCGACGTGACGCAGGACGTGACGCATCTGTTGTACGGCGGAACTGCGGTCGGAATATCTGACCAGCATGGGGTGCAGCGAGGCGACGGGACTGACAAGGTTCTGGGAAGTTGCGCTAATTCGCTGAAGGCGTTCAGTGATCAATTCAGCAAATATGTAACGGAGGAGCAGGAGCATGAAGTGAGAGGGCGAATGATAAACAAGAGAGCAAGCATGGTCGAAGATAGCGTCGGGCTATAGGGGAGGGCAGAGCCAAAAATAATTGCACAAAGTAAGAGGACGAGAGAGAGAGAGAGAGAGAGAGAGAGAGAGAGAGAGAGAGAGAGAGAGAGAGGGAGGGAGAGAGGGAGGGAGGGAGGGAGGGAGGGAGGGAGAGAGAGTAGGGGCTAAGCTAAGGAGAGAAGAAAGAATGAAAGAAAGAACAAAGAAAGAAAGAAAGAAAGAAAGGAAGAAAGAAAGAAAGAAAGAAAGAAAGAAAGAAAGAAAGAAAGGAAGAGATAAACAAGAACAAATGTAGAGATCGAGAGTTCAAGAAGATGTTGCTCCACTTTACATATAAAAAAAACTTATTCGAAAGGATGGAGATCCCAGGGAACTTCACCCAAAATCGTCGATGAAGTCCACTAAGGTTGCGACAAATGGAGATCGGTATATTCTGCTAACGCAGACAACGGGAATGTGACACGTCATCACGCATCGATTGCGTTCCGACACGCATCAACGCACATCCCACGAGCTCACCGCGCGTGGCTGATCGAAGGCCGGCGGCGTCGCGTGTGCCCTCTGACCCCGCGCGCTGACCCCTGACCTTGCGCTGACCCCTGACCTCGCGCTGACCCCTGACCGCCGCACAGTGTGGCCAAACGCCAGATTAGCGCGAATTTAATCAAAAAACGAATTTGGGAATTTTGACTATTTATAACCATCAGTCGATAGGAAATTGTCCAAAGTATGTCAATATCACAATACTTTGGTTCAATGTCTTCCTTTCGGTGTCCAAAAAGCTAGCTAAAGTGGACATACGCAATGCCGGTCCCGGCTGTGCTGAAATCGTCGAAAACCCGCGTCATGTTTACAACACATTTTGGCGTAATTGTCGGAAAGGTTTGGAAATAATTGGAGTGGCATATGACTACCGAGCCTATATTTGATAGTATACCCGAATTCTATAGGTATCCTTGGACTAACCGATGAGTTATGCTCATTTGAAAATGACCTTTTCAAACATCCCCTGAAAACACTGTCCATCTTAAAAACGTAGAGGTATAAGAAAATGGCCAAAAAACTCCACGCCAAATCTACCATGAGAAGATTCGCCACACTTTTCTGGACATGATCCATTCAAGAAACCCTGCCCCAACCTGCCCCCCGGCCTTTGGCTCAGCTTTGAACGTATCGGGTTGGCCCGCCCGGGGAGGTCCGGCTACAGGGTAGGCGCGGCGGCGGCTCCGTAACGTTACGCGGATAGCTTAACCGCTGTATTTCTGACTTGTTATATTGCAGAATACGGTCGCCAATGAATAAATCTTGACAATTTTTTAACCTTCGCCCATATATGGGGTGAGGGTGGGGGTCGAAAGGACCCCTCTCGGTTTTTCGCAAAAAGCTCATGTAAAAAGCGGCCGATCGCGACGAAACTTTCAGTACCCTCGAGTTTATCAATTTTACACCTACCCTTTAAATTTCACGACCCTGACCCCAATGACCTTTGACCTGTGACCTATTTCTCCAGACCATGTTTGGCCGGAAGCGCGATTGGGCGTATGTTTGCTTGCATTAGCCGCGCGTTTGCAGTCTTTTCGTGGTTTCAAGCGTCTAAACATGTGATATTATGGTGTTGGTCCCATGCATTATGGTCGGTGTCAAGATCACTTGAAGGTCAGGTCAGTTCAATGACCTTTGATGATCTCGGTTCACCTTTTTTAGTTTTACATGCTTTCAGGCTAGTTTTTGGAGCTGATTTCGAATTTAGTAACCATTTGAACATTTAGGAAGAAGTTTTGGTTCCTTCGTAACATGCAACAACTTCGTAACACTGGCGGTTGACACCTATTAATTATGAATACCCGGCAGGACTGGTTGGCCTGACCTGACCTGACCCAACCTACGTTCGCGGCTAGCAAAACACCAATACGGGCGAGGGTTAATGACATGAAGGTGCTTATGGTGTAAGTCTTTGTTTTTACTCCCATTGCTGAGGTTCAGTCCTATCGGTGCGTGTATTCCAGCAACCATCTACCGATTCATGTGCTTCACCAGGAACATTCACACAGAAACATAATTAGATGCTGATTTTTTTTTTCAAGCAAACTTTGGACAATCATAAGAATTTACCAGAGAAGTGATGGGAATTTCGTAAACGATTCCTCCTCCTAGCATGCCCATCATTGCTGGGACCCACAATTTTATGCCTCTTATTTGCGGTTAAATTCCAGGATTTCGTAATCAGAGTCGGAGTCGTTCGGAGTCAATAGTTCTGACCCTGCAGTCAGAGTCGGAATCGAAATCGATTTTGGAATCCGGACCAAGACTCGTAGTCTGAGTCACCGAAAATCCATCGACTGCGTGGGCTTGCCATGGCTGCGGAGTCAGAGTCCGAGTCGATCGTATAAGTCGACAGTTTTGCCCGGAGTCAGAGTTGAAATTGACTTTTGAAAGCCGTAGTCGGAGTCGGAGTACCTAACTCCATCGACTTCACAGCCCTGGCCTGGTAAGCACATCACCCGTCGTAAGCTAATTCTCCTTACTTTTAGAGGCGGAACTATGCCATTATATGTCAGCAAGCATTTATAATGCATCGTAAAAGGTCTCACATAGGTTTAAGCGTCAATATTGAAACCAGGGAACCATTTTCAACGGATCCGAGCAGCGCTGGGATTTAATTCGCGCTAAACTGGTGTTTGGCCACACTGTGCGCCGGCCACTCACCTGGAGGCTGTGAGCGGCAGGTTTATGGAGCAGAACAGCAGGTCCGAGAGGCACAGGCTCACTACGAACGCAGTGGTGGCGTGAACCCGCAGTTTGATGGAGCGAGACAGCGCGATGATGGTGATCAAGTTGCCTGAGAAGGAGATGTCACGTCAGTGGTGCACGAGGCGTTGGAAGGCGCGGGCAGAGGCTGGTGTCAGCAGTAGGTACAGGAGCTCATGAATAATTGGTGGCCAGTGTTTTATCTCGAAGGAAGAGTGATGTCGCAGCTTTCGAAAAGCTTTTGAGTCAGTCAATATATCTTGCATTTGCATTCATTTACATGTGTAAGGAACGGACCAGTCACTGTGTCTTTGACTAAGAGATAGCTAGTCGAAAGCTGCAACATGACCGGCGATTTCCTATTGGTATGCACGAATAGCAGTACTGATGGGTAATGAGATTTATATCTAGCCACAACTGTAAATCAACTAGCAAACAAATGATTTTAATAACCAAAACAAGCGTAAAACACCGCAACACAACCCAAATGCCTGCTAAGACTTTTAAAGCAACGTATGGTGACATTAAAAGTCGATAAAAGTGGCCACAGTAGCAACTCTTCTCATTCGCGTGTCACGATGACTTGTAAAAAGGTCATAAATAAACAGCATGATCTGACTCGTAAATAATCCAAGATGACTGGCGATGCTTTTCTTAACCATCTGCAACGCCAGGGCATGTCGCTGACACAGCGCCTGTACCTCATGTATGTGAAGGAAGGACACCGCTATGCGTGGGCCGACCAGGTAACATTATGGACACCAGTAGCGGCATAGACACCCCGCACTGGGTCAAGGGCATCTATGCAGACGGGAATAATGCCTGCATCGCAGGCGACAGTTCCGCCGAGCGGAATCTACTCTGCATCACATCAGCACATCAGATCAGACTTTGACGTGCGATTTGACAGCCGAAGCGGAACGGATCGACATGTGAACCGCTCTTCAAACGGACACGCGCTCGACAGCGATCTACTCGACAAAAAGCGACCGGGACGTCCAACAAAGGAGGGCGAGGCGAGGCGCCGCCATGGGTCAGAGTTGAGGACGGCCAATTATCCTTGAGCACTGGGACCGACACACGGCGGTCGCATTGGACCAAAGTCGCCTCCTTCCGCTCTCAGGGACGGACGGAATGGAAGTGGTAGTTTAGAGACAGTTCAACGTTACAACGGCCGACACGCAACTGAATATACATGATTTTGAGCTCGCCCAAATTATTTTGAAAGGACTGCTCCTGTAGCTCACGCGAATTTCCGGACAAATATGACCAAATATGAATGGATATTAAAAAGAGGTACAGTAAACAGCCTCGAGTGATGTTGAATTCAGCATTCAGATTTGTATACAATTACTTGAAAATCGATAGCAGACCTCAATCCAAACACAAAGTTAAAAAAATTATACCAAGATGCACATTTATAGCACTGGAGCGACATTTAGCTCTAGCATACTCCCACAGAGTGATAGAGCCTCCTAGCGACCGTTCTAAGAACGGTGACCGGGCCGTTTCCACCAGCCACGAGATCGTTTGTGGAAGGCATGTGTAAACTGTCCCTGACAGCGGCGCGACGGCCGCTGGCGAACAGGAATGAGTTTATCCCAGCTCGGGATGTGAGTCACTTCTGGTGGAGACAGAAAAAAAACGGGAGCTGGCGAAGGCGAGAGGTTCGGATCAGGTCCATCGTCCGGTGGGAGGGTGCTTCTGGATCCTGTTGGTATCACTTCGTTATCAGCGAACACTCGCGCTGATTGGTCAAACCATGGTGTCCCCAGTGAACCCGACAAACTTCGCGCCTCGTCCGCCGGGCAGCAAGGCCTTCATCACGACAGACGGCGACCTTATCACGGGCGCAGCCTCAGTGGGCGGATGATACCGATGTTCAGCAGATGTTGCAGCGGATGTGTTCCGGCGGCTTCTTGACGACGCTCGGAGGAAGGAGACACTGTTGTGATACGCGACACGGGACAAATGCGCAGCATTGCGGCTCGCGTGTCAGTGTTTTTGTGTCCGTTGTTGCTGGGGGCTGGGGGTGGTCGAGGTCGTGCCTCTGAGAGACTAGCGTTGTTGGCCAAGCTGTATGCATTCGCCATTCATCGCAGATGACGTCAGCACCACGATGTACCTATCTGACGATGCATCATCTAACCCACGAAACCGCGTGTCCTTCTTTGTACGCTCTTCTCCCTAAATCTCGACTGGTGATCTTGCTGTGGACATTCACAAAAAACGAACAATAAACTTCAATGTTGATAACATCCTATCATATGCTATATCCAGCCGCCCTTCCATTCTGCCTTCCATTCAATTTCATTTTATGCACCCTCTTCCCGTCCACACTCAACATCTTCAGCCAATCTGACCAAAACCCTCCGAGCCTCCAGGCGACTGAGCGCCTCTTCTCTCTTCTGGCAGCGAGGTGGCCGCCACCTGTGTTTGTGCGAGCACCCGCGGTGTTCTGTAGCTCAGCTCTGAGAGCCCATCCTGTGCCCGACGACCACCGGAGCGCAGTGGCGGCTGCAGGCGCTCTGTTGATCAAACACGCGCTCCAAGATCTCCGCCTAGCCCACCCGGGCCTTGGAGATCACGGGTAAACCTTGGCCCGCGTGTCCGGCTGCGAAAGAGTCGGCCAATCAAGGCCGCAAGGACGAATTAAGTCACCACCGTCTGCTCCCGAAAGCGGACAGGAAAAGCTGAAGATGTTTAACTAGCTCTGCAAGGCTTACTCGTCTGTGATATGATTCATGGGACTTGTGATGTTGACTGAGGAGATGACAAGCTAATGTCGTGATCTTCCAACGTAGATCCAAAATAATGTTAGGCTTGGTATATCAATCAAAGCTTATCGAAAAAGATGCATTGCAAAAAGCACAACTTAAATTTGAAGCAGTGCAACGACTTTGGGCAAATCACACCTAATTCGTAAGGAACAGGGGCGCCACCACGGATTTTTGACTGGGGGGGACGGACTGACCGACTGAAAACCCAAGAGTAGACATTCTTACCGTGGCTTTTTCGGTCGGATGCATTCAACGTTTAAAGTAAATATGCCACTTTTAACATAGGATTTTGAACTGAAGTAACTGTTTTGTAGCTTGAGCTGAGACGAGAACAAGTCAGGAGCTTTTATGGCCCAACGATCACCCTAGCCAAATATATCGGTATCGATTTTAGGTTTGAAGACTGAAGTCATTTCCATAGATTACACTTATTCATTCTTATACCGAGGAATCCATTTCCTTACGGAAAAATGCTAGCCAATCAGCATTCAGCTGGTTTGAACTACGTACTATGCTTGGTCAACGCGTACCTAATCAGCTTCTGCTGCAATATAGGCAAGTAGGCTCTACGAAAGATGGAAAATAGTGATGTAAAAATAAATATAAAATCCTTTTGCAAATATTCATTATTTCCTGACCATTTTAAGTTTAAAAACTCATAAAACTGTGGCAAAACAACTGGTTTGAGGAAAGTAGTTTAGGTAGGTACATAGGTGTCGATTTCTACCGAGTTGGGGGTGCCCGGGCGCAGCAAATCCGCCGCCGCCCTAGCGGTGACCTTGACCCGCGCGGTCTGTTGAGGCTCCAAAGCCAAGCCGGCCGAGCCGGCGGGGAATTTGGAGAGCTCGGGCACCCCCGACTTGGCGGAAATGGACACCCATGTTTAGGTATTTCCTTAAAGTAATGGCTATAGACCGTATTCCCACCGAGTACCTACCTATACACACATCTGATGTCCGATTCAGTTTGACACGGCAAAGCCTAGTGTTCTATCACGGTATAATTGCTGATGTATGCCACTAATATGATCGATAATGCATATTGCATAGGTAATGCATATTGCATACCCGCGTGGGGAGGGGGCGTTGTATAGTCACAAATCTCTCTTTTTGGTTTGTGCACGAATCGGCGCGAAGCGCCGCGAAAATTGGCAAAAAAAACATTAGGCAAAACTGCTCAAAAATACGAATTTTGCAGCCCGTGTAACAAGCTTGATACCAGAAAACCTTAGGTCAGGAAAACCAAGTCAAGTAGTCAAGTCGCCTCAAAGTTTTTGGTCCTGTCAACCGTATAGCTTATTTCTTAGAAGCTGGAAATTTAGCGTAGCGTGACTGCAGAAGTGTGGGGTCGGAGCCGGAATCAGTCGGAGTTGACTGTTTTGGCCAGTTTTGGCCAGAGTTGGAGTTGAAGTCTTCGAAAATGTTCGGATTTTGACTTCGAGGTCGGATTGGTGTAAAGTCATGCTCTTGGCTGGTTAGACGAAATATATTAGGCCCGTGTTCGGCCAGTCGTGTTATACGACACACGTTGATCACGATATCAAAAATCGGCAGTTCCGCGATGACAGGTCGGATAAGAGCTGGAGATTTTGTTGGCCGAGGTGGCAGGGGTCAGACCAATGCATGTAGGCCCACACCCCATATACTGAGTATCAACCTCCTGGACCCTCTCAGATTCGGCACCGGCCGTTCCATCTCTTCCATCCTCAGGACAGTCAAATCCTTCTCCTCCACGCCGCAACCCCCTGCTCCGGGCTGGACGGGCAACTCTATCCCATGCGGGAATGGCTCCACTGGAGCTATAGTCCTTTGCCGGGTGCAGTGAGTGCCAGTGGGCTGGGCTGCCTGTTCAATTGGTCGGGTTCATCCCAAAAGGCTCACTGGGGTGGCTGCCCCGACCAATGTCTCCCACTAATTGTTTCATATTTGCGGCTCTGAAATGGTCTCATTGGACCGAAGGGCCTAATCAAATTTCGAGTAGGATAACAACCAGTAAAACGCCTTTTGGAGCGACCAACGGAGCGAGCGAGAGGGTGGGGTGGGCCTTGCACGTGCGAAATTGCGAGGGGATACCTCCAACTAACTTGTGCACTGCACCCTTCTGACCGGTCCCTAACGATGTGCCAAATTTGAGCGCAATCGGCATAGCCGTTCTCGAGATCTGGAAGCGGCACCCTGCACTTGCGCACGTGCAAAATGGGTCCCAACTGACTTTTGCACGGCACCCTACTAACCGGTCCCTAACCATGTATCAGATTTCAGTACAATCGGTTCAGCCGTTCTCGAGATCTGGAATCGACCCCTGCATGTGCGCACGTGCAGCAGCACCCCAACTGTGGCACATGGATATGCATTGCCTACTGTTAACGCCAGACCCCTTGAGACCCTAATTTTTCGCGATTACTTTTAAATGCGTGAAGGAATTTCAACCAAGCTCAGGACATGGCCGTTTCAAGACAGGCCGAAACTTTTACAATTTAGATATTTTATCGCCATTTCAATATTTCAGGCACTTGTCATTGACTCGTAATGTTAACTGTTTTTCCATCCTGGATAGAGGCTTTCTACGTCATATGACATTAGGCTCCGCCCACGACTGCGGCATTGACCCGTGCCCATCAGCGACCTCTGTACAAACGACACCCCTGCCATCTGTGAAGGACTATGAATTTCGCTGACGCTTCACGTGCTATGAGTCAATTGCAGCAGACGGTCAAGTAAATGTTAGGCTCTTGTTGACTCTTGTATATAGGACCAAGAGGACCATCACTCCTCAACCTACTACTCAGTCGTGCTTCGAACAAACGTTAACGATTCCTAACAAATACGATTTTTGATGTAGGGTATCTGTGTGAAATACGAGCGAGCCGTATGATGTGAAGCTCAGGCAATTAACTTATTATTGCGTTGTTCGATGGTTGCATAGCGATGTCAATGACAAATCGGCAGCTACTTGGTGAAATCCGATATCCCATTATCGCATTATCTGCAACGCCATAGGCTTTAAATACAGGTGAATATTTCCTAACCTTATGTCAGTTATATGCCATCTGCCCGTCATATGCAGCTTATAAAAAAATATATCAGCGAACATATCAGCATTGTAGAAGCAGTGCGCATTGAGCATTTATGACTCCTTAGTCATCATGTCGCTCTCTGGGCACTGTCAGCCAAGACGCTACGCACAACTCCGCCGGCTTTCGGCACCGCTCGACCGTCCCTGCTCCCCGCCACAGCGAGAGTGACCGCGCGCCGGCCCGAAACCGCCGCAGGCCAAGACCACAGAGGCGGGGCTTAGCTGTGACGTCATAACGTATCACAGACTGACTGGTGATAGCCTCTACACACCGGATGAAAATCTTGCTCGAAATTTAACATTACGAGTCAATGACAAGTGCCTGAAATATTGAAATGGCGATAAAATATCTAAATTGTAAAAGTTTCGGCCTGTCTTGAAACGGCCATGTCCTGAGCTTGGTTGAAATTCCTTCACGCATTTAAAAGTAATCGCGAAAAATTAGGGTCTCAAGGGGTCTGGCGTTAACAGTAGTGGGTATACCTACCTACATGCCAACTTTCAGCGCAATCGGCCCAGTAGTTGCCGAGATATTGAAATTGTTACAAAACTGACACCTCTTCGTTTTTCACGTGGCACGTGCATATGGGGTCACTCACATGCATCGGGAATAGTCCGATGCTCGTTAGAAGGAATGAATCTAGTGCTACCCTACACAAATTACCGCATGTAAATCGGTCAAGTGGTTGCTGAGATATAAGTCTAGCAAAAGCGTGACCACGGCATGCTCAGAAATTTCCGTTAACCTACGAAAGACTACGCTCGCTTCGCTCGCTCGCTCCGTAATGAGTTTGGGGGGGACGTCCCCCTTCCATTCTGAGAGTGGGGGGACGCGTCCCCCCCGTCCCCCCCGGTGGCGGCGCCCATTGTAAGGAATCTGATCTGAGTCGGTCGCAGATACTTTTGGCAATTATAGTCACATATTCGTTCTCTTCTTTCTCCTCTGAGTTCTCCCCAACATCACATCCCCTTAATGAACCTAGTGGGTCGTTATTTGTGGGAAGCTGCCATGACAGGCTTTATTGACAGCCCACTACAAACATCCACCGAAAACTAACCTTCATTGCTGAAATGCTCATCAGTTTCTACCCCTCATGGCATGTGACCAAAACATCATCCAACGCGAGTTGGCAACAATATGTGGGCTTGACGCATCGCATTCTTGAATGACTTCCTCTCACAGGATAATCGATAAAGTTGTGCTCGAGTAATGCATCAACTGACAGCAGTATACCGCTAGCCTGTTTGGCAACTTCAGCACTCAGCAGCCCACGATCTTGAGAGGATTTATGAATGAAAGAAGTATGAAACGCTTGAGATGCACGTCACTCACACTGATCCGATAATTGCCTATACAGCTGCATTTTCTGCACACACCCGAAAACTTAAGTCGTCCCGAAATCAGCTCTTCGTGACTTCTCGCCGTGTCGGCAGGGGGATACCGCGCGGGGGAGCCAAACGGAAGGACACAGGGACTGCCGCTCCGCCCGGGGCAGGGACCGTTTAATGCGTCCCGTCAGTGCACCCCATAACCCGCCAAGTGGCACATTACGTAAAGTGGTAGTTATGGCTGGTCCCAGAACCGGTTCAGGCTGCCATTTGACGACCCCTCCTCAAACAAAAGGCGAGGGCATCGGGTCACAACAGAAGGCGGTTGATTCAGTTTCGAATTGACGATGTGGTGCTCCAACGGGGAACTCAGACAGTGTCAATGATAGTCTCAGACGACAATCAAACGGCCCAAACCATCCCCCAGACCCCCCGGAGTGAAAGAAAAATCACAACACATTGATTAATGGACCCAAAACAAGGATTGACACCCCGCCTTTTAAAGCTCGGCTCCTGACGCTAGAAACAATTACGAGTCAGCACCGCTGATGAATGAACCATCGCCGGCAGATGATGAAAGTGATAGCGTCGAAACCAAAGTCCATAACCAGTAGGTGCGCCTGTGGTTGCGTGAGAACTCATCAATCTTGGGCGGTGCGGTGACATGACACCTGGGGTCCAGCCCGGCACGCGCCCAAATGAAGAGGCCCCTCAGCGACGATTTACGAGCGGCGCGTGCAACTCACCGGCAATGCCGACCACGATGAAGATGATGCAGGCCACTGCGGCGAAGATGGTGGCGCCTCGGGGGTAGTGGATGATGCGGTCCTCCACCTCCGTCGCGTTCGCCACGTCCATCACCAGCTCTGGGCCAACGTCCTCCACGTCCGCCATGACTTCTGCGTCACGCTGGTGACTGTTCGCGTGACGAACGTGCGCTGCCTTTGTCCCCGCCGCGCCGCGACTGCCGCTGCTGCGTCACCTTTGTCCCGTGGCCACCGGGAGTGACTCGCCTGAAAGACAATGCATCGTTAGGCGCTGTCGGCGTCATGCGCAAGAAAGGACGTCGGTAATTGCTTTGATAGAGGGTGGATGGGGTGAGAATGAAGGGAAGAGATTGGGAACACCAACTGAAGGATATACGATGCCATAGGGACCACACAGGCATGAGAACGATGTAACATGAGAACCAGGCAGGTGGGATAACAAGAAAATCTAACGGACCGACAGAGCAGCAGTCAACAGTGAACGTGATACAAAAACAAATACAAGAGCTACAAATAACTGAAGACAGCACGGGAAAATGGCTCATCGCACTCCAGCAAGATAAATGTTTTTACGGGCACGGATCGTATCGAAGCCGGAAAGGTTGGGTCAATGACTTGTCACCACGGATCAGACCACTAGCGGAGCCGCACAGGGTAGATGACTGTCTGAAAGTGTGTGTCACCCGCCGCGGCAAACAGGAAATTGGCCTGATGTGTTGAATCACTGCCGGGCTGTGTAGCGCGGCGCCTGTCGACCGCCCTGTGTTTGTCTGACACCAGCGGGCTCTCTTTGCTCTGTGCGTGTATGCTCCAGGCATCGTCCGCTTCAGAGCGTTTGGTTCGACAAACAGCCGCTTCAGAGTTGATGCGACAAGTGGGCAACGTGACCACCCAACGGGTGCGCTGGCGATCGCAAACATCTTCGTACGAGCTCCGGGGGTGAAAATGGCTTCGAGATGTGACTGGTGCATGACATCACGGGTGAGACCTCTGGCTATCTGGCGTCACGTCTGCGCCATGTCACGCAGCGTCCCCGTTCCGACCGCGAGGGGTCAACGATGAGGTCATGCCCTAACATCATAGAGATTCAGCACCACCTCCAGATGCTCACTGCGTGCTGCAGCCACCCCTCGCGTGCATGGGCCTCCACGGTAGAACGCGCCTCTCAGCCGCTCGACTCATGACAGCCACCAGAACTTAGTGCGCCGGTACCAAGAAGGAACGTGTGCTGGTCTTTGCCGCGACTGTTTACTCCAGGCAGGCCAGAGATCATCCAAGCGACGATTCCAGTCACTCAGGCGGAACCCTAGCCGGCACCATCAGCCCCAAAATGTCGTCGTTTTGTCCTCAGAACGTCGCTGTTATGCCTAAGAATGTCGTCGTTAGGTCGTGCCGCCGTCGGCGCATGGTGCGTCTCGCGGTCCGGCGGAGGTCTGAAGGTGGCGCCGGCCTAGTGACCTTCGGTGGAAGGGCGTCAGACGGGACCACCCTGCGGCGATGCTGCCGGCAGGGCCGCGCCCAGCGGGAAGGGCGCGGAACGCACCCGGTCTGATGTCATAGCGAGACTTGCAGTGAACATAAGCACTCGCATGTCGTATATTTACTACAGCGTCGACAGCTAATGGTGTCCGTGAGTCGTCTGACATTGCGGCAAGTCATTCACGAGACAAATTGAAGTGCGCGATCTCATGAAGAGAAGAATCATGCTACCGTAAATTAAGATGAGTGATGTCCTGGCACCTTCTTGAAGGACGTAAACGGGTCTGCGGTCATATTCAGCAAAGACCGTCCATGAATAACACAGCTCCCTTGACTCTGTGACTTGCTCTGTACCCTGTACAACACTTCAAGGCGACAGGGGCTGCCTCGCAGATCTAACCCAGGATCAGACCGAACCAATTAATGATGCATAAATGCCAATGAGTGAAATGCGAATGCGTAGCAATGACAGCGACTGAAACATATCTACTTATAACCAGGTACACCAGGTATCATTCAGCTAAGTAGCCAGAAAACAAGTGTAGTTATTTATGCATAAAGTTTCGATTATTTGCATATGCACCTGGCATCTATCTGTCATTCGTGAGGCCTCGTATTTAGAAACAACTGCGCACCATGTAAGCGGCCTTGTGACAACCGTCCGCCAGCCATCACTCCTGGTCCCATGGCTGGCGTCCGTCTGTCACAGGCCGTTATTTTAATGACCCTTGACCGAATGTTCACACGACGTCATGAGCCCCACGACGCCCCCTTCCATCACAGTTCGTCAAACCTCAACGTTCAACAAACATCGCACCCGAGCGGCGCCTGGTCAAACAGACACCGTATAGGACAGGGATGCATCAAAACAGCGTCTGTCGAGGTCAGGCCCGGTCTCCGAGAGTCTGGATGGAACGATGAGGCCTGCGTTTCAATCGCCGCGCTGGCCGGCAACGGAGCCGCCGCGCGTGTGTGTCATGCATCTCATCACTCCTACACATTGGATGGGCAGCCTGATCACAATGCAGCCCGCAGCGCAACAGCGACAGTTTCGGCGCAGCAGAGACAGCTCCAGCGCGGGACGACACCCGACGCAGCGGCGGCTGTCGCGGGCTGCTGTTCCAAGAATGGGGCGTCGCTGAGGTTGACACTGACGGGCGACAGCGGGCCTGTGTCGAGGTCCACAGACACCGAACACGCAGGCGTACATCTCCAGGTGTTGGGGTCACCTGTTGTTCAGACAGCAAGCGGCCTAGTGACTCCTCCCCGGAAAATGTTGGGGTGTCGTGTTGATCAAGCACCTCGCGCTGGAGAACTATCCAGGTGCCGGAGTTTCGTGTCTGTCAGTCATCCACCTGGTGTGTAAAGGCGGTTGCTCCGGGACACGCCAAATAGACAGAAAGGAGGGGTAACATGACGCATGAAACGGTACCCGTCTGATGATACACCTGGTTTGTTCTAAGGATGGTTGCATGAAGGACGACGGTATAGACAGCATGTCGACGACGCCCAGAATGCGTTTTAAGTTCTAGATGCTGAATTCGTTTTCATTCTGTCGAATTCGACATTGATCTTATCCAAACTTTAGGGGTTCGCTCAAGATGCAGCCAAGGAAGCTCAAAAGTACAGCTGTTAGCTCGACTGAGAAAAATGGGAGTGTTTCTTAGTTAGTTTTCGAAATATAGTCCTTTTGTCAAAACTCTGCATCCCAACGGATAAGTACAGCTATGCTTGACAAAATACGCAGATCTCCAAATCTAACGTAAGTGTATCCCAAATCCCATAAATTTGTGCGTGTTTGGCAAGTGCCCGGGCATAAATGTTTTTTTTTAGTAATGAATGATGTTTCGTCCCTCCACAAAGCGCTGAGGAAGGTAACGGACTGCTGAATAATTGTAACAATATGACAGGTTTCATCACTGACCTTGTGCCAGTCCGTTAAACCCACAGCTCACAGAAAAAGGCCATGGCGCGAAGGCGCACAATGGAATTTGAGCCGATTAGATATGACACCGCAACAAGGCACAATGTTTGGCCTATAAAAATTGGATGATAATGTAGTTATAAAAGTTAACCATGATGTTTTAAACATGTGTGCTTGATGACATTAAAAATAATCAAATCAGCAGCATTGTTCGTATATGCGAGCTAAGAGGAAGGGAAAGTGCAATTATGGAAGACAAAGGGTGATGAATAAGAGGAACTAAAAGAAAAGCAGATCAGCAAAAAGGATTACCACAATAAGAGGATGTCATCCAGCCTTTTGCAACATGGATAACAGGAACAATGGAGATCAAATATGCATGGGTGAAACAGTTATTGCTATTTCCCTGTGTCTGTTGCACATTTTGCAGTATATTCATCAAATAACGACAAAGAGGTTCGCTGAAGCTGATAGGCATCTGACTCAAAAATTGTCCACGCTCTCGTTTCTCCCAAAGGGATCCATCCACCCCTCTCCAACTCACAAAGGAAGGAGGAGCGGAGCCTACCCGTGACAGGCTTCTGTCATCACCCAGCACAACAACGGAAGGGTCTGCCCCGCTCTGGGGACGGCCCAGGCTATGACTTCCTCGGGGAGGGGAGGCGTGATGTCAGCAGAGGTGAGAAAGACCACACAGACGCCGCGATCTCGATGACCACATCCTGTCTGGGCCTCCGACCTCCCAGCAGCTCTAATGTAATCGGATGGCCCCGATGGGTCCTTTGATCGGACCGTTTCGGCACTTTAGAACCATTTGTACCGGGAGCATAACAGAGGAAGTTCCCGACAGGAGAATCCATTTCAGTGGATATCTCTACTGATCATCTCAGGCAAATGCCTCGAAATTCCGGCTAGAGTATCACCTGACATGTTTTGAAATGCAGACATGCTTTTCGGGATAACTTGATATCTTGGACGGATAGCTTGATCTCACGCTGTAAAACTTATGCAGAAAGAAACAGCAGAAATATCAACGTCAGCCAAATTCTTTTGTGAAAATCTAGCATGGCTGGTTATTGGCATTTACGCAGCACAATACATCAGTTGCATATCAAAGCTCCAAAGTCCGCAGTACATCAGATCCATCGTTTCCTGTCCCATCTCATCTGATATCTGTCTGTCATTCCGCCTGTCCTGCCTGTCATCTCGCCTGTCCTGTCTGTCATGCTGACTGTTCGCATCTAACCCGCCGCACTCGTCCAGTGGGCCACCTAATATACTGTGCGATAGGACTGTTGAGTGTTGGATGGCAGAAGATGATGTCACCACGCTTCCTTCTAAGACGCACAGGAGAATGGGGAGGGGAGATATGCTCACTGATGATCAGGAGAAGTCTAAATAGTAGGTATCTCTGAGGCAGACCAACCAGCCGATGAACGCCTTGCAGCCTGTTTACCAGCGGACCATCAAAGGGCATACAACTATTGTGCATTAAAATATGGTAGACGTTACGGAATTAGTTGGGATAGGAGTTCATAGCATGGAGCTCGAAGGGTTGGGATTTTTGAAAGAACTGGAAGAAGCGTGAGGGATGGAAGCTTCATGCAATCTACAACGTTTGGCCGTATTCAGGCCAAATTGCGACGGCCAAAGCACGGAGATGATAATGACAAGTTCTGTGCCTTTTCTTTGATGGATGAACCTTTTGTAGCTATTAACCCTTGCAAGCCACATACGACCAAAACTTTGGTCATCTTAGTTTAAAATTCCGAACCATATCACATTGGACCTGTGATAAATAACGGCCCGTAGCACCAGTCGAGGTGCGATGAGTCCTCAGGTC